GTGATTGTAGATGAACTATAAATCCCAGTAACTACAACTCCCAAATGTCAAGGTCTATTTCCCCCAAACTCCATCTGTGTTCATATTTGGTCGTATTGAGTGCTTGTGCCAAGTTTGGTCCAGATCCATCATTGTTTGAGTCCACAGTGCTCTCTGGATGTAGGTGAACTACAACTCCCAAACTCAAGGTCAATGCCCACCAAACCCTTCCAGTATTTTCTGTTGGGAGTCCTGTGTGCAAAGTATGGTTTAATTGCATTCAGAATGCTCTTTGATTGTAGGTTAACTATAAATCCCAGCAACTACAACTCCCAAATGACAAAATCATGTTTTTGAGTGATGGTCATTCCTTGAGTGTCTTGTGGCGTTTTGTTGGCAAATTTGGTGTGATTTCGTTCATTGGTTCTTTTGTTTTTAAGGTACTCATTACGCACAGAGCATTTTTATATATATAGAAGATATGATACTATCACCTTTATGTCCCTTTTCAGAGCATTCTCTATTTAAATGTGTGTGTGCATATTTGTGTGTGTGCACGCATACACACAGAGGCACCCCTATATTTTAGACATCTTAATAAATAGATTGTATGTATGTGTGTGCATTCTTTAACTTTTACTCAAAATATATCTATGTTGCCTTCTAATACCATCTCTTTTTCTCTTTGAAGTCGTGCTATAGAGGCATCAGATTTTATATAGTCATTTCCACAAGTTGCAATATGTAATATATCTCTAAGTTCACTATAGCTATGACCTTGCGTTAGATTACATTTCCTTGCATGACAAAAGGTTGGACTAGATTGCCTTTGGGGACTTCTTCTAATTCTAGGAGTCTATGTCAACCTTAATTCTCTAGCTTGGCCAGGCAAGCATCTACCTGCACTGGAGCCTGAATCTACCCAACATAAACAACACATACAAAATGCTTTAGTTTAGTCTCTATTTACTATGAGCAAAACAGGTGACTGGGTTGTTGTAGGTTTTTCGGGTTGTATTGCCATGTTCTAGAAGCATTCTCTCCTGATGTTTTGCCTGCATCTGTGGCAAGCATCCTCAGAGGTCAGGAGAGAATGCTTCTAGAACATGGCCATACAATCCGAAAAACCTACAACAACCCAGTGATTCCGGCCATGAAAGCCTTTGACAATAAAATAGGTGGTGGCTGAGAGGTTTTGATGTCAATGGGATGGTGACTCTACTCCAGGTTTGTAATCCTGATTTGAAAGCAGCTCTCCAAGGTCCTGAACCCTATCATCAAAAATATGATTCAGCACCTTTGAGAGAAAATAGGCTTAGAAGCACCTTACTATGCTTTTGGCCTCCAATTCCTCCTCCCCATTCCAGACTGGGAAATATAATTCTTTGGACTATCATTCCCAGAATCCCCAATTTATTTATTTACTATATTTCTATATTGCCATTCTCAGCCCGTTGCCGACTCATGGTGTTTTACAGGACGGCACAATTTAATGCCCATAACAATATAAAAGCAATGAAAACATTTAAACACGGATAAAAATTCATTACATAATAACATCAACAAAAACATAATAAAACCATAATATTACCAAATCATTATCCAGTCGCATTGTCCAGCCATTCTTCTGTACAATAGAACCTTTTAGGAAAGAATCCCAATGACCTCCTCTGAGTCCCCTTTCAATCTATCCCAGGCATGGGCAAACTTGGGCCCTCCAATTATTTTGGACTTCAACTCCCACAATTCCTAACAGCCTCAGGCCCTTCCCTTTTCCCCTCTCAGCCACTTTCGGTCAGCAAGTTCAACAGCTCAGCGGTTTAACCTACTGCGCCACTAAGGGACGCATAACTATCAAAAACTCCAGGCAAAGACTTTTCAAGTCAGACCCAATCAATAAGTGAATTAATTTTAAATACCCTGGCATTTGTTTGTTATTGTTTGCCTCCTGTTTCCAACTTACAGTATTCCCTCACTTATCGCAGGTGATCCATTCCAGGACTACCTGCGATAAGTGAAAATCCACAAAGTAAGGACGCTCTGCCCACTCGGTAGCAGCCTCGTCCTCTTCGCCGAGTCTGCTGCTCACCATCTCCAAGGCCCCTTGGACACCATTGATGGCACTGCCAGGCTAGGCTTTGCACCGGGATTGTGTCGCAGCTGGCTGAGTGTCAGCTACATTAAGATCACTCTGACCAAAAGGTCATGAGTTCGAAGCCAGCCCGGGTTGGAGTGGGTTTCCAACCAATTGTGTGTAGCCTGTTGTCGACCTTTGCAACCCGAAAGACAGTTGCATCTGTCAAGTAGGAAAATTATGGCTTTGTTGTTGTTGTCATTCGTTCAGTCGTCTCCGACTCTTCGTGACCTCATGGACCAGCCCACGCCAGAGCTCCCTGTCGGCCGTCACCACCCTCAGCTCCTTCAAGGTCAGTCCAGTCACTTCAAGGATGCCATCCATCCATCTTGCCCTTGGTCGGCCCCTCTTCCTTTTGCCTTCCACTTTCCCCAGCATCATTGTCTTCTCTAGGCTTTGCTGTCTCCTCATGATGTGGCCAAAGTACTTCAACTTTGTCTCTAGTATCCTTCCCTCCAAGGAGCAGCCGGGCTTTTTTTCCTGGAGGATGGACTGGTTGGATCTTCTCGCAGTCCAAGGCACTCTCAGAACTTTCCTCCAACACCACAGCTCAAAAGCATCGATCTTCCTTCGCTCAGCCTTCCCTAAGGTCCAGCTCTCACATCCGTAGGTGACTACAGGGAATACCATGGCTTTGACTAGCAATGGATCTTTGTTGCCAGTCTGATGTCTCTACTCTTTACTATTTTATCGAGACTGGACATTGCTCTCCTCCCAAGAAGGAAGCGTCTTCTGATTTCCTGGCCACAGTCTGCATCTGCAGTAATCTTTGCGCCTAGAAATACAAAGTCTGTCACGGCCTCCACATTTTCTCCCTCTATTTTCCAGTTGTCAATCATTCTTGTTGCCATAATCTTGGTTTTTTTTTATGTTTAGCTGCAAATTAACGAATTTATGAGGCCATAAAAAAGACGCCAGCAAAGCATTCCAGCGGGGAAGCATGCAGGGAATGCAGAAGTACTTCATCAGCGTCGCAGGTGGACGATGAAAGCGACAGCTCCCCTGGTGGCCAGAAAAAGTTAAATAGCCTCTGTGTATGTCTGTATATGTTTGTATGTCAAAAATTGCCATTGAATGTTTGTCATATATGTGTACACTGTAATCCGCCCTGAGTCCCCTGCGGGGTGAGAAAGGCGGAATATAAAAGCTGTAAATAAATAATAATAAATAAATAAGCTGAGGCATGGTCTGAGGCCTCAGCCCCACCTGGGAGTGCCATCAAGAGAACCCAAGGGGACTCCAAGGCGGTGAGCAGCAGACCCGGCGAAGAGGGCGAGGCTGCTGCTGAGTTGGCAGAGCATGCTCACTCAGCAGCAGCCTCGTCCTCTTCACTGAGTCTGCTGCTCGCCACCTGGCGCAGCCTGGAGACAAGCCCCAGGGTAAGGCCTAGCACCTGGCTCCCCCTCCCTTCCTCCTCTTCCTTTTCCTCCGCTTCAGTCCCCCCCCCCTCCGAACTTATTGCGGACCCGCGAAACAACAAGTCCGCAATAAGTGAACCATGATATAGCATGGGAACACTGTATGACATTCCTATTGTGGGTTCTTCTTGGCAAGATTGAGAGGTCGAGAGAGCATGACACACCTGCCAAAATACAGCTCACATCCAGAGATTTTAAGCAGTCATTTTCTATCCTATTCATAAGAGAAACAATGTCTTCTGCCGAGAGTTCCGATTTGCACAAAAACAGCTTCCAATTAGAATCATAGAATCAAAGAGTTGGAAGAGACCTCATGGGCCATCCAGTCCAACCCCCTGCCAAGAAGCAGGAATATTGCATTCAAATCACCCCTGACAGATGGCCATCCAGCCTCTGTTTAAAAGCTTCCAAAGAAGGAGCCTCCACCACACTCTAGGGCAGAGAGTTCCACTGCTGAACAGCTCTCACAGTCAGGAAGTTCTTCCTAATGTTCAGATGGAATCTCCTTTCTTGTAGTTTGAAGCCATTGTTCAACGTCCTAATCTCCAAAGAAGCAGTAAACAAGCTTGCTCCCACCTCCCTGTGGCTTCCTCTTATGTGGCTATCATATCTCCTCTCATCCTTCTCTTCTTCAGGCTAAACATGCCCAGCTCCTTAAGCCGCTCCTCATAGGGCTTGTTCTCCAGACCCTTGATCATTTTAGTCGCCCTCCTCTGGACACATTCCAGCTTGTCAATATCTCTCTTGAATTGTGGTGCCCAGAATTGGACACAATATTCCAGGTGTGGTCTAACCAAGGCAGAATAGAGCATGGGGAGCATGACTTCCCTAGATCTAGACACTATGCACCTATTGATGCAGGCCAAAATCCCATTGGCTTTTTTTGCAGCCACAATTTACAGGGTTTGGTTGAAAGGTTCTAGTTCTTTTCTTTTACCAATGTGAAAAAATATTTTATTTTAATGGGGACAATGGGAAGAATGTGTCACATGAAATCCCAGTCCAGCTATAGATTCACCTGGAGACTGAGCAATCTTTGTCCCATTCAACTGTTATTAAAATGTGGGTTGTAAATGTTGTGTTTACGGAAGGCAGGAGACATATTTTAACACTCCAATCAATCAAAGTGCTCAAATTTGGATGAAGATGATATCTTAGCACATACAGACACAGAAATGGTGATTAAAAGAGTTAAATTCTTACAAGCTTTCATGTAACTCCTTACTTTAATTGAAATTTATTCCCAGGTTTCTCTTCTCATTCATGAGGTCTAAGAAACTTGCTTTAAAGCAGCAAGTGGAAGCAAAAATCCTTGGGTTCAAAAACATTTCACCACCTGAAGCTATGTAAATTAGGAGATCCCAGAAGAAAAATATAATTGGGGAGATTTTTGCAGTTCTGGACATTATTTTTGCACTTAAAACTAGATTGAGAGGGGAAAAAGGAAGCAGAGGATAGAAGCATGATAGTTGCCAAAGTTTGCATTAGTTCAAAACATTGGATAAACTGCTTTATAGTTGAGACAAACACCTCGACAGGATTCACCGGCTTCCAACAGACATCGGAGATATTGTGTGCCACAACTAGATTCAAGGGAAAAGTAGAAAAGCAGAAGGCTGAAGATGGAAGCAAGAAACAAATACAAAAGTTTGCCCAAGTTTGGATGAGTTCAGGACCCTGGAATAGCTACTTTATAGTCCAAACTAAAACCATGCTCATTGGTGCCAAAACCAGATTCAGATGCCCAAAGTAGAAGACGGAAGCATGAAAGATGTGCAAGACAGATCCAGATTCAGGCACTGAACACCACTGAGCATTTCAGGTGAGCCGGTTCGAGGCCATCCGCATAGGCCAGGAGGAAATACATCACCTTCCGGATTTTGGCCAACTCCACCAGCCGCTCTCCAAATTCCAGTGCATCGGCCTCATTGCATTCCACTTCTTGGGAGCCTGGCTTTTTCCAGAAAACGGCCACTGGCTCCAGGAGCTGCCTCCGCATGAGGTTGGTGAGATCCGGTGTCCAGAGCTGAGAGGTGCCAATTATGGCCACTTTGCCTGGTTTCTCCAGAGTGACCTTCCAGCGCAGGAAACGGAGGCCATGTTGCTGGGAGAAGTCCAGCCGGTAGACAAATTCATCAGCTTGGAGAAGTTTCTCTCCATCCTGTGGCTTCTCCTTCTTCTGTTGGAGGCTTCGTACTCTGAGCCTCATGCACTGGGTCAGCTGGATGTCCTGAACCAGAGGAAGCTCCAGTGTGGATGGCTCCGAAGCCATGGTGATGTCCTTCACCTCTTGCTTCCTCTATTCTGCAGGAAAGTGGTGCAACGTAGTTCGGTTCAGGCGATATATGCAAGCGGGGGGAAACCTTGCAAGCTCTCTTTCTCTTGCTCTCATCCATCCCAGCCTGTGCTAGGCAACCTGGGTCAGTGACGCAGAGCACCCGGAGGGGGTTTCCTCTGGGTGCCCTACATCTCATTTGCAGGACTGGAACCGATCCCGGCATCGCGTGCTAAAATCTATAGGGATGTGACGACAACAATCCTCCTGGCAACTGTTCTTCCAGAGCAACCAAATGAGGTCTCCAAAGTGTGAAGATGATCTTTCCGGTGTGAGTAGACGGTTTGTAGCAGTAGAAAGAGACCCTCAAGAACAGTGGTTCTCAAACTTCCTAATTCCACGACCCCCTTAATACATGTTGTGGTGACCCCTAACCATAACATTATTTTCATTACTTCATAATGTAAATATCTGATATGTAGGATGTATTTTCATTCACCCGACCAAATTGGGCACAAATACCCAATATGCCCAAATTTGAATACTGGTGGGGTTGGAAGGGGAATTGATGTTGTCATTTGGGAGTTGTAGTTGCTGGGATTTATAGTTCACCTACAATCAAGCATTCTGAACTCCACCAACAATGGAATTGAACCAATTTGGCACACAGAACTCTCATGACCAACAGAAAATACTGGAAGGGTTTGGTGGGCATTGACCTTGAGTTTTGGAGTTGTAGCTCACCTAACTCCAGAGAGCACTGTGGACTCAAACAACGATGAATCTAGACCAAACTTGGCACAAATACTCAATACACTCAAATGTGAACACTGGTGGAGTTTGGGGGAATTAGTCCTTGACATTTGGAAGTTGTAGTTGCTGGGATTTATAGTATGCAATATTCCTGCTTCTTGGCAGGGGGTTGGACTGGATGGCCCATGAGGTCTCTTCCAACTCTTTGATTCTATGATTCTATAGTTAACCTACAATCAAAGAGCACTCTGAACCCGCCCATAATGGATCTGCAGCAAACTTGGCACACTACCTATATGGCCAACATTGAACACTGGTGGGGTTGGGGGGGTTGTTTTTGAATTTCAGGAGTTGTAGTTCGCTAACACTAAAAAGGAAGAGAATGATAGGTGGAGAGATCGTCAGCCTTCTCTGCCAAAGGGTTCCCAAGACCATCAGAAATATGTGTTTCTGAGATGGTCTATGGCAACACCACTGAAACCCTTGAGACCCCCAGGTTGAGAAACACTGCTCAAGAACCATCTAATCCAGGCATGGGCAAACTTTAGCCCACCAGGTGTTTTGGACTTCAAGTTGATGTCCAAAACACATGGAGGGTTGAAGTTTGCTCATGCTTGATCTAATCCAACCCTGTTCTGCCATGCAGGAAACCCAATCAAAGCCCTTCCAACAGATGACCATATAACCTCTGTTCCACAACCTCCAGAGAAGGAGATGATTATGTTCAAAACAGTTTACCCTTATAACCTCTCTCGTTCTCCTATGAGCCATGTATAAATATGTGAGAGGAAGCCACAGGGAGGAGGGAGCAAGCTTGTTTTCTGCTTCCTTGGAGACTAGGACGCGAAACAATGGCTTCAAACTACAAGAAAGGAGATTCCATCTGAACATTAGGAAGAGCTTCCTGACTGTGAGAGCCGTTCAGCAGTGGAACTCTCTGCCCCGGAGTGTGGTGGAGGCTCCTTCTTTGGAAGCTTTTAAACAGAGGCTGGATGGCCATCTATCAGGGGTGATTTGAATGCAATATTCCTGCTTCTTGGCAGAATGGGGTTGGACTGGATGGCCCATGAGGTCTCTTCCAACTCTTTGATTCTATGATTCTATAAATAAACACGATAATAAACATAATAAGTCTCTCATTCACTCTCTCTTTATGTCTACACATTCAAGCTATCTGTCGGCTTATGGTGACTCCATGAATATGATATGTTTTCTAAGGCAAGTAAAAAGCAAAAAGTCCTTTGCCATTCCCTTCTTCTGAAAAGGCAACTACAGCACCTGGAATTGATTGGTGTCTCCCATCCAAGTTATCATCACATCTGTCCTTACTTAGCTTTGGGACATTTAAGCTAATAGCATCACAGAGTTTGAAGAGACCTTGTGGGCAATTCAGTCTAATCCCATTCTGCCAAGAAGCAGGAAAATTGCATTCAAAGCTCCCTGACAGATGGCCATCCAGCCTCTGTTTAAAAGCCTCCAAAGAAGGAGCCTCCACCACACTCCGGGCAGAGAGTTCCACTGCTGAACAGCTCTCACAGTCAGGAAGTTCTTCCTAATGTTCAGGTGGAATCTCCTTGCTTTCGTGTAGTTTGAAGCCATTGTTCCATTGCGTCCTAGTCTCCAGGGCAGCAGAAAACAAGCTTGCTCCCTCCTCTTTATGACTTCCTTTGACATATTTATACATAGCTATCATGCCTCCTCTTAGCCATGTACTATTCCTGCCACTATTTGGCTTCTCCAAACCAGAATCTCCATACTTGGGGCAGGTCTCATGTGGCTCCAATCCCTATTTCTCCACACTTTCTCCCACATGTAATTTGTTAATTCTATGTAGTTTGGGTGCATTATAGTACCATGCTGAGACTGGTTTGGTTTATTATGTTCCCCACTGTTCCTATTCTATTTCGGACCCTAAATCTGACTCCCAGCTTTGGTGCCACCATTGTAAACAGGTTCTTTTCTTTCCAACTAAAGCTCTCCGTGGCTTACCATCCTCCCAAAGTACCAAGGGCATGGAAAATGAGTCTCAAATAAAACACAAAGAAGAAGTACATGTTTCCAAGGGAGGAAGCGCAAGCGCTGTGATAATGAGGCTCTTGTGGGTTTTAATAGATCCTCCTTGGACCAAAAAGCCAAGAGGGAAGCCGTTTTTGTAGCTCCGCTAAATGCTTCCTGGGAGGGCACTGCATTGTATTGGTCAGAGCACTCGACTGGGGCTTTGCAGAACCAGTTTCCAAAGCATGGAGCTATGAAATACACTAGTTCACTCTGAGGCTGCCATACTCCGCCTGGCTCGCCTCGCAGGGTTGTTACGCAGGAAAAGAATCCAAGACCCTATATTTGTTGTTGTTTATTTGTTCAGTCACTTCCGAATCTTGGTGACCTCCTGGACCATCCCACGTCTGAGCTCCATGTCGGCCATGGCCACCCCGAGCTCCTTCAAGGTCAGTCCAGTCACTTCAAGGATGCCATCCATCCATCTTGCCCTTGGTTGGCCCCTCTTCATTTTTCCTTCCATTTTCCCCAGCATCATTGTCTTCTCCAAGCTTTCCTGTCTCCTCATGATGTGGCCAAAGTACTTCATCTTGGCCTCTAGTATCCTTCCCTCCAATGAGCAGTCAGGCTTTATTTCCTGAAGTATGGACTGATTGGATCTTCTCGCAGTCCAAGGCACTCTCAGAACTTTCCTCCAGCATCAAAAGCATCTCTCTTCCTTTGCTGAGCCTTCCTTATGGTCCAGCTCTCACATCCGTAGGTGACTATGGGTAATACCATTGCTTTTACTATGCGGATCTTCGTTGCCAGTGTGATGTCTCTACTCTTCACTATTTTATTGAGATTGGACATTGCTCTTCTCCCAAGAAGTAAGTGTCTCCTGATTTCCTGGCTGCAGTCTGCGTCTGCAGTAATCTTTGCAGCTAGAAATAAAAAGTCTGTCACTCCCTCCATTTTTTCTCCCTCTATTTGTCAGTTGTCAGTCCATAGGGCAGGTAATCAAAAAAAATTTTTTTTTCGTGTTGGGAGCGACTTGAGAAACTGCAAGTGGCTTCTGGTGTGAGAGAACTGATCATCTGCAAGGAAGTTGCCCAGGGGATGCCTGGAAGTTTGATGTTTTACCTATCTGTGGGAGGCTTCTCATGTCCCCCATGAGGAGCTGGAGCTGATAGAGGGAGCTCATCTGCCTCTCCCCGGATTCGAACCTGCGACCGGTCGGTCTTCAGTCCTGCCAGCACAGGGTTTAACCCACTGCGCCACCGGGGGCTCCTTGGTTTTTTTATGTTTAACTGCAACCCAGCTTTTGTGCTTTCTTCTTTCACCTTGATTAGAAGGCTCCTCAGCTCCTCCTCACTTTCGGCCATCAAAGTGGTGTCATCTGCATATTTAAGGTTGTTAATGTTTCTTCCAGCAATTTCACCCCAGCCTTGCATTCTTCAAGCCCCACATCGTATGATGTGTTCTGCATACAAGTTAAAAAGGTTGGGTGTGCAGCCTTGCCGTACGCCTTTCCCAATCTTGAACCAGTCTGTTGTTCCGTGGTCAGTTCTGACTGTTGCTACTTGGTCCTTGTACAGATTCCTCAGGAGAGAGACAAGGGGGTTTGGGATGCCCATCCCACCAAGAACTGCCACAATTTATTATGATCCACACAGTCAAAGGCTTTAGAATGGTCAATAAAACAGAAATAGATGTTTTTCTGAAACATTTCTGCCTTTCTCCATTATCTCTATGTAACTATGACATATGTTACACAGTTTTTGTTCCTGGGTTATAAATGCCATTTTCTAATTGGTATTCTCATAAAAATGTGGAAAAGGCTTATTATATTGCAAGTACTTGGTTTTTGCAGGATCCTGCAGCACATTTTGCTCTAGTCTTTCAATAAATCCCTCACAGAGTCTCAATCAATTCAACCTAGTTTGCGGTAGCCACAAAAATGAAGTTTCTGGAGTAGAAGAAGTCATTCGAAGTAAGGACTGCACAGTTAAACAGGAAATAACACTTTCAAACCAGGAACAGAAAACTTTTCAAATTTTGTGACATAGTGTGATAGATCCTGATGGTTGCTATCCAATGATGTGACTTTCCAACGTTCTACTTGTTGGTAGTTTAGTGCATAATCTAGAAATAGTTTTCTAAGATCTACAGAGACACTCGCTCAGCAAGCGAGAGACACCCCAGCAAGCGAGAGTCCAAAAGTGGCAGGCTCAAACCCAGAACCTCAACCAATGGCTGATACCAAATGAGAGACTCCCCCCTGGGCACACAGAGGACTGGGCGACTTGGAAGGCGCTGAACAGACTGCTCTCTGGCACCACAAGATGCAGAGCCAACCTTCAGAAATGGGCTACAAAGTGGAATCCTCGACATGCGAGTGTGGAGAGGAGCAAACCACTGACCA